AAATTTGCTTTGTGACCAAATTGCAAATCTGGCCGTTTATGGTCGGTCCGACCCGACGAGAATCCGGCCTAAGCTGCATTGTCGGTTAAGCAACGGGGCCCCTTTAAGCGTTATCCAATAATAGCAATAATTACTCTTTGTTAATTAGATTAATGTTGCCACGCGATATGGAAATTACGGTAAAGTGCGCCATTTAACCGTAGTTCGGAAGCGCATCCCGGGGCATCTTTATGCCGCTTCGATTTTTACCATATTAATTTCGTATCGGTAATTGGCTTTCATCGCTTAGTGGGCATAATAACTGGCCAGTTTTCCGTTTAATGAGTAACGGCGCCGATTCGCGCACTTTGACCACGCATAGTACCGCTAGGAGAAATCAAACATAAAATTTCACTGCTCTAAACCGCTCATTAGCCTCAATTTTCGCAGAAAATACTCAACACGCTTTACACCATTTTTGAATTAAAACACTTTTAATTGATTACGAAACCTTCTAGTCACAATGCAGATGCATATTTTAACGTTAAATATTCCTCTGCTCCAGTTTCCTGGGTGGAATATCACTCGATTATTCATGCAAATCATTCGGATCACCTACTTCACTTGATTGCATGCATCTGATAATTTCCGATTGTTATTAGCACGAAACATCAACGCTTTGGAACCGATAAAAGTGTTTTTTCTTCGATGTTCACCAGACACCAGAAGTCGTTGTTAATTATACTCTTTTTAATGGAAAATCAACGGAGCCTCTGGGCGGAGCCATTAAATATGCAATGTCACACTTAGCCACGCCCCCAGACGCAAACTAATTCCTTCTTAACCATCTAAGTGCATATTGAAGACTGAAATCGACAAATGTTCGCAAAAAAAGTTGCAAAATGCGTAAAATTTAACTTCATGTGTGGCTCCGCCCCTAGGAGGAGCTACAAAATGGACCGTAATCGCACAATACTCCAGCTCTATGAGGATGTTTTTTATTTCCCAAACACTTAAGCCTCTACACCAGTCTACGTTTACTCACCACATCGAGGACTATGGGCTAACTCTAAGTTAGTTATAGGAAGCAAGAGAGGCTGTTAGGTTTAGGTTTAGATTAGGTTAGTTAGGTTAATTTCGACTAAGTTATATACGATGACATATCTTAAGTTACATAGAGTGTTAGAAACTCTAACGATGTTAGATTTAAGAACCCGTAGATAAGTAGCAGTAAGAAGTTTATATATACTTAGCTGAAAATAAATATGTTCAAATAGTAGTACATTTACTCAATATCATCAGTTTGGAAGATAACGGTGACCTCCTTCGAGGTTCCTGCCTCATTTTCCGCATTAACGTAGCTGGTGTAGACAGTGTTAGGTGAAAGCCCCGTAAGAGTAACAATCACGTCGGGCCTAAGAACGTCATCCGTGATGAGTACTCGCAAATCTGTCTCATCGTTTGGGGCACCTGCAACGTTCACAACGTGCTAAAAGCCCCCTTGGTGGGTTCCCCAAGCCGACTTACCAAGCGTTCGGACGTTGAGGGCCAACATGGTGCAAAGGTTCGTTTCGTAGGACTCCACCTTCCATATCATTGTCACAGAGTCGGGTGTTGTGGAAACATCTATCGAAGTGGGCACCTCTGGGACTGTAAGAACTCATTAAGTTTTCGATGAGGATTTGGGGAAACCGGATGTTTTCACCTTTGCTGTGCCCAGGAAATTCTGTGGTCAAGCGCGGGCCTTCAATGTTGGGGTTGCCGATGATGGCGCTCACTTGCACCGTGTAGTTCCTGCAGGCGGCTTCCTCCTCAAACGCGAAGGACTTCGAGGTGACGAAGTCCTCTTGCGCGTTGTTCCTTTCGTCCCAGTAGACTACGCGATAAGAGGTAACGCATCTGCTGGCCTCATCACTTGCCAAGTCCCAGCTGATCTCTATTGCATCATCGCTGCCCTCATTTTCATCCAGTTCCACGTAGGCCAGTGTTAGATTCGCACCTGGAACCCTCCATTAGCCTCCTCCGTTTCCAGACTTAGTCACTTACTATCCAGAGGTTCTGTGGTGGCGCTGTAGCTGTCCGCAGGCCCCAAGACAAACTCGCTGGTCAAAGCGTGCACGTTGAAGGAGTAACTCTTGCACATGTCCAGGAAGTTGAAGTTGTAATGCAGGATATTTGTGACTGTTTGCACCTGGAAAATGGTGCTGTCCTCAGTGTCCAGCACTTCAACTACGTAGTTGTTGATGGTGCAGTTGTTGGGATTTGAGGCCTCCGACCAAGACAGGCTGTAGTTGGAGCTGAGAACCACGTTGGAAACTTGGCCTGGAACTGAGGGCGAAGCTGGAATCGGGACAGGAGGCGAATGGATGCGACTTACTGCAGACGGCGTTTGAGGAGGCCAAGAAAATGGCCACTAGGAGAGTGGGCGCGAACACTTTCATCTTGCTGGTGAGGTTGCGGATGCTTAGCAGCTTCCAGCCAGCTCAGGCTTTTATACTGATCGCACCCCAGATAGCTGAGGCTGGAGCAAAGAGGTTTTTTATCTAATCTTTTTTGGAAAGATTCCGAGACGAATCCATTGTGTGTAAGAGCCATTGAAATTGGCTCCAGTCATTGGTGGGGGACTTAAGTACAAATCCAAGAGCTTTGGAGTAGATAATTAAGCATTCAAACTGCTTCCGCTAGTAAGAATGGAGCAACTTAGTAGAAAGTCACGTAGCCAATTGTTTGGACAGCGAAGTGCGTGTGAAACAGTAACCGGTTTCCAGCGGGCAAACCGATAAAACCTCGAGTTTTCGAAGCGGGCAGATAAATGAGTTGAAGTGAATTTTCAAGTCCTCGGTGTCTCAAATGCTTGTTTATCCACATGGTTGGCCATCCACATTGGCAAAGAAGTGGAGTTGGATGAGAAATGTCTATGGACATTATCAAAAACTTTCTGGCTCCGCCTTGTGTAGACCTTTTTTGTAGGGGCTTCCCAATAAAGTTTCAATATTTCACACAATAAACTCGGCTATTTCAAGGACTTGGCCGGCACTAAAAAAACCTCCGATTCGCCTATCTGTCCACTTCAATCGCACAATGGTTGCGGAAAACTAATGCTTTGATTTTGTCATTCCCCCACTTGAAACTAGTTGCGTTTTCATGAATAATCTCCACGTGATTTGGCAAACATTTCCGCTCAAATTCCTCTTCCGGAAATTATCCACTAAATACTCTCCAAATGTGCTGTAGTTTACTCCATTTTTCCAGCAGTGTTAGTAGCACAAATAATGAGTGGAGCCAGTGGCTGGTACAAAGAGGCAAATAGACCAGAGGAAAATTTCGAAACCCTGCCGGAAAAAAACGGGCGATTAGATAAAGATCCTCTTTGTGTCCATCTCAGCCATCTGGGCTGCGCTCAGTATAAAAGCCCGAGGTGACTGGAAGCCGTTAATCATCCTCAACCTCACCAGCAAGATGAACGTGCTCGCGCCCACTCTCCTAGTGGCCATTTTCTTGGCCTCCTCAAACGCAGTCTGCAGTAAGTCGCATCCATTCGCCTCCTGCCCCGATTCCAGCTTCGCCCTCAGTTCCAGGCCAAGTTTCCAACGTGGTTCTCAGCTCCAACTACAGCCTGTCTTGGTCGGAGGCCTCCAATCCGCACAACTGCACCATCAGCAACTACGTGGTAGAGGTGCTGGACGATGAGGACAGCGCCACCATTTTCCAGGTGCAAACGGTCAAAAATATCCTGCATTACAACTTCAACTTCCTGGACATGTGCAAGAGCTACTCCTTCAACGTGCACGCCTTGACCAGCGACTTTGTCTTGGGGCCTGCGGACAGCTACAGCGCCACCACGGAACCTCTGGATAGTAAGTGACTAAGTCTGGAAACGGAGGAGGCTAATGCAGGGTTCCAGGTGCGAATCTAACACTGGCCTACGTGGAACTGGATGAAACTGAGGGCAGTGATGATGTGATGGAGGTCAGCTGGGACTTGGCAAGTGATGAGGCCAGCAGATGCGTCACCTCCTACCGCGTGTCCTACTGGGACGAACGGAACAAACCTCAGGAACAGTTCGTCTCCGCAAAGTCCTTTGCGTTTGAGGAGGAAGCTGCCTGCAGGAACTACAGCCTGCAAGTGAGCGCCATCATCGGCAATCCCGACATCGAGGGGCCGGCATTGACCGCAGTTTTTCCTGGACACAGCAAAGGTGAAAACATCCGGTTTCCCCAAATCCTCCTCCACAAAACTTATGCATATTTACAGTCCCAGACGTGCCCACTTCGGCAAATGTTTCCCCAACATCCAACTCTGCGACAATGATATGGAAACTGGAGGCCTACGAAAAGAACCTTTGCACCATGTTGGCCCTCAACGTCCGAACCCTTGGTGAGTCGGCTTGGGTAACCAACCAGGGCGCTTTTAGCATGTTGTAAACATTGCAGGTGCTCCAAACGATGAGACAAATTTGCGAATACTCGTCACAGACAACCTTCTTAGACCCGACGTGATCGTTACTCTTACCGGGCTTTCGGCCAACACTGTTTACACCAGCTACGTTAATGCGGAAAATATAGCAGGAACCTCGAAAGATGTCACCGTTATGTTCCAAACTACCGATGAGTAAATGTAGAATAAAGTATTTATGAATAAAAAAAATATTCTATTAGTACTAGAGTTTTGTGCAATTAGGCTCAAGAACGAAGCCACGCCCCAAGGCGGAGCCACACACTCTTTGGGGTACAAGGAAACTTCCCGAAACGAATTAAAAGAAGCGAAACAGAGGCAAAGCCTTTGGAAAGTTGAAATAATTCCAAAATAACCAAATATGTGCAATATGATCACGCCCCTAGCCCCTAGGCAGAGCTAAAGAAACAAATTGATCAGAAACAGTTGACAAACAAATAAAGATTAGGCCCCGCCCCTGGGCGGGGCTAAAAAGCTCTTGCATCCCAGCTACGCTGGCAGTAAACAAACTGAACCCAATGAAACCACACAAATGAGCCTCAATAGTTTATAAACAAGCAGATTATTACTGCAGCTCTCTGGCAACTGAACTGAAGCCTCTTGACAACTCATCAACAAGGGACATTAAGCCACGCCTCTAGGCGGAGCTAGTGAAAGGGCCGGAGAGGCGCCAAAACAAGTGGCGTCCTCCAAAGGAAAAAATCCTGATAGTGAACCTCTCAAGACTGTTCGACTGTTTTCAATGTCGCTCGGGTTTTTCGGAAAGTTCTCCGATAACGTAACAACAACGTCTCGATAGATATTCGACTGTTATTGACGTATGTAGGAGCAATTAGTGCGTACGATTCGATGATGCGATGCCATTTCTTATGTGGACCCCCAAAGTGTATTGGCACAGCCGCAAAATCGCCTATTTTTATACATCGCCACCACAATTAAAGGTGTGAGTGACATTAAATAATCGCCGATCTCGATGCCAGTGATCGGAACCGCGAAAAAATCGCTCCAAAGTCGACGGGAACAATTAAATAATTGAACTTTGGCCAGTTGGGCGGGCCAGTGGCGTTCGTGAGGCGCGATGGCACCGACCCAAATGCAATTTGTTTCAATTAGTGATTTATTTGTCGGATTCTTTCAGATTATAATCAGCTGGTATTTATATAACGCGACGACAAATTTAATTGTCTTAAATCAATGGAAATGTGCTTTCATGATCAAAATTTTGCGCGTTTAACTCTTATCACGGCCAGCATTATCAGAAATTAGATACGTAAACAAGTGTCAAGGGCAAAATTGGGTTTTTTAGAGATCATTTTCTCAAAGTGCTGCCTTTCTTTAGGTACTTGAGTGGGAGTGGAAGTCCATTGTTACTAATTGTAACATGAGCCACTCGAGAGTAACTGTTTGCCATGTCGATGACTAATTAATGAACGCTCACTTCTCAAAAGCTCTTAGATTCGTCAATGGAACAACTGAGGAAAGTCGTTATCAATAAAGGA